CCTGTATGATGTACAGGCGGACTACTTAAATTAGACACCAAAAGTGTACGTGTGGCTAGTATGTACTTTCTAATGTAAGGGTTCCCTAGAGAACTCCTTGCTATTTATACTTGAATAAAAATTCCAGCTCCCAAGAGGGTAGACGTTAAAAATAAAAAAAAAAAAAAAAAATCTATGATCATAAGAGTTTGCACGATAATAGCATATCTGGCTTTGAATTTAATGTGCTTGACAACCTGAGTCCTTTCGGAGCCCAGGTTAGCATATTAAATTCAAAGCCAGATACTTTTTTTATTTGTTATTCAAAATGATCATCTTGTGATCCTTCGGATCACGGTATTCTCATTTCTTCTTCAAATAAAACTGTTATTAGATACTACATATCCAATAACTATTTACATACATCTATAAAAGGTTGGTATATTATAAATATAATAAAGAAAATCAGAAAAGACTGTTTTATAAATAAGTAAATTATATAAATATATATATATTTTTTATAAATTAATTTTGTTTAGAAAAAAGAAAATATTATTATAGTGTTATAGCATTTGTTACTATAGCACTAAAATGCTATGTTTTTTAATAAAAAAAATACTATAGTACACTGACCAAAGTATCACCTTTTTTGCGTACCCTCATTTAAAATACCCAGGTATTTTGCATAGCATATTTTTTTTTCACTAAGCAAGATACCCAGGTATTTTATAACTCTTGAGGGTGGTGGTTTTATATAAGACCCGGGTATTTTGTATTGCGGCATTTATCTAATTACATCCGTTATGAAATCTGTATTGCGGCATTTGTCTAATTGCAACCGTCATGTAATTTGTTTATCTACGGCTACATTTATTTGCATACGTACTGTATACGTATATACAATTAGGGGTGCAATATTGCATTTTATATTAGGTCAATATTCCATATTAAGAAAATAAATATTCATGAATTAAATTCCAAGATACATTAAACAAATCATTCACTTATGTGTTTGATTAAAATGCGTATAATGGATGTAATAATTATGATCAAATAATAAAATTATTTTCACTTGAATTATTTAATAATTTTTTTCGCTTTATAATAGGAATCTTAAGTCTAGTTTTTAAAAATATTTATAAATTTGATACTAATTTTATGATAAATATATTCTCCTGGAACTCCTGAATGCTTTGTTGAATTGGTAAAATGATACATGCATTCAACTCCACAAAAACGGTCTAATAATTTAACAAAATGTTTAAACGTTAATGAAATTAAATTACAGTTGTAATAGAATAAGCAATTATCAGTAAATTAGATTACAATATTATTAAATATGACTTACTCGATAACGTCTTCACGTTTAGTAGCTTTGAGTGGAAATTTTTTAATGCAGTTATCAATTTCTTTTTTTCACTTGTGTGTTTTTGAGGGCCACATGCTAGACACCAAGTGAAAGATATGATCGATCTTTTGAATATCGTCTAATATATTGAAAGGAATCTATTCGAATCGTATTCTGTAGCTTTAAATTGAACTTTTTAAATAAAATCATTGATATATTTATTTTCACTTGTCCACCCTTTTGCTGTTTTATAAGGATCACATGATTGACACCAAACTGTGATGTATCATAACTTCACACCAGAAATTCTAAATGGTAAAGTTTAAGCATAGCAAGGTACAAGATTGAATTTATTTAATGATTATAAAATTGATTATTCAAGAAAAAAAAAATTTTTTTGCCTATAATGCTGTTATTAAATCATTGGGTTGTGGTAATGGAGATAAATTCAATTTTGAATATTTATAATCTTCTGAAAATTCCCATTTCTATTAATCCCAGTCTTAGATGACCATTAATTCTTCACCTTTGTAGTAATCATCATACACCAATCCATCTTCATTTGTATCAGTGTTTCCACCATCATCGTCATCATCATCTTCATCTAATTCTTCCTGACTTTCAATTCCTCTTCTCAGATTTGTTTCATTCGTAACTTTCATGAAGTCAAAAATCAGATCATCTTCGGTTCCATCCATCGCGTTAAAAATCCCACAACATGTGAAGGACTTCCTGATCATGTTAATATCTACAGCTTCCCAAGCCTCTTTTACCCAAGTAGCAATCAAAAGATACGAAGGACGTTTCGTCTTGCTAGTTTTAGTGTATTCTTTGATTTCTTTGTTCATCCATTGATTATAAAGATTTCGCATCTTTTAATAAATAAATAATAAATAAATAAATAAATAAAAAGTAAATAAAATAAAATAAAGCTTAAAATTAGATTGTTAAAAAGATCGATGATCTCTCTCTCCTGACCACCTGCGTTTAGGGTTGAGAGTAATTTAGGGAAGACAAAATTAATCTA